ATGATGATGAAGCCCCGCGGCTCACAGGTGAATGCCCGTGCTGTGGTTCGGGGTTTTCCGGGTTTCTTTGGTGTTTGGTGTGTGTTGCGTTTTGAGCTTCGGCGAAAGTAGATGAGCGACGATGGCAGTGGGCTCTGCTCCGATGATAGCGAGAACGCACCGTGCGAGAGGACCCCTCGGGATATTCAGTGGCATGGCCCTGCTCCTGCCAGCGCATTACTCCAGCTGGACCTCCCATGCCACTGCAGGCGCGACTGGAATTGCAAGCTTTGCGTGATGTCAACCCTGCCGACGGCCGAAGCAGAAGTCCCAGCATGGATCGAGCCTCCACGGTCTCCCGACCTGAGCGTGAATGGCCAATGCAGGATGGGGATCGTCTCCAAGGACCTCACTTACCCAACGGCAGGTTCTGCGAATCCTCCTCGTCCTCGGCACCAACGCCTCGGCTGGAGTCAGACGACTCCTGCCTGGATGAGGGAAGTGAGTCTGGCAGTGAAGCAGCGCCGGCACCGGCAGGGTGCCACCCACGGCCGGACCATGAGGAGTCCGACGGGGGCTCTTCCACGTGACGACCTTGGTTTTGGCTGGGCCTAGCCTGGCCCAAGCCCGCAATCACTTCCTGGGCCTGCTGCGCCTTCAACTGTCTGCCAATGAAGCTCCCACGAGTCGTCAGCAAGGCGGCCGTGTGGGCGCGATGCGGAGACGGTTGCAAGCACAGGGCTGGCAGGCTGTCTGTGTTGCTGCCCGCCAACATTTGGGGGGCGAGTACCGGGAGCGATGGTGTGATTATGAGTGGCGCAGCACACACGAGCGCCGACCGCGGCGTGCAGAGGCACGTCCGGACCTGCGAGGAGCCTGTGCAGCAAGGATTTCCAGACCCTAGCCCTAATTCACACCTTTGGCCCCTACCTCGCCCAGCTCAGACGTGTGCCCACACCCATTGCCCAGCCTGATAAGACGACCATCCCAGATATGCCCTCGCCTAGCCCACGAACACCCAGGCGACAGTTGCAGCTTTGCCCGCCTCGTCTGCTGGCTGCTGCCGATGGTCGCGGGCCACTCAACCCAGCAGGCATGGTTATAAGCACCTCCGAACCCGAGACCCCTAAATGCACGCACCACAATCAGCACACCTGGCTTTGCCATAGCCGAGCCGGTCCCAAGTCCGGCACCTGCCTCCGGTTACTTCTTCTTGGTTGTCTAGGAAGGGAGGTAGGAGGGGTGAGGGTTGCCTCCGCTGCCGTGGCGGAGGCTGGACCTGGCTCCATGGAGCTGGGGAAGCATCGCGGACCGGTGCCGAGCGTGACTCCCAGTCCCAACCCTAGACCTAGGACCCCCGAAAAGCGGGCATACCGTAGAGCTAAGCAGCGTGCGGCATTGCATGGTGGCACCACTTACCGGGGCCGTTGGCACACAGCGGCTGACTTGAATGCCTTGGAATACGTGCCTTCACAGCCGAAACCCAGGCCTCTACGAGCCGCTCCAAGACGGCGACAGGCGCGTATTGCACCAGTGCAATGCTTCTGTTGGAATGCAGGGGGCTTGAGTTCAGCAGTTTACCAGGAACTCATGGCTTGGCTTGAACTTCAGCACAAATATCAGATCATCATTCTTCAGGAGTCCCATTGGCCGCAGAGTTGTGACTTCACTTCAGGCAACTGGCTGTGCATTCACAGCGCCGGCGACCCTGACGAGGCACATGACCGGTATGCTGGGGTCATGATCCTGCTTTCTAAGTTGCATTTTCGGGATCCTGCTGTGCATGAGATACACAAAGGGCGCCTGTTACATGTGCGGGCCACACATGCATCCACCAGCACTACAGTTGACATTCTAGCTGTGTACCAGCACGTCTGGAGAAATCACTTGACCACGTCTCAAAATCAGGAACTCCGTGGGGGCATTTGGCAACACTTGCATACCACATGTGCCAAATTACCAGTGCGCAACTTTCTGCTGATAGGGGGGGACTTCAATGCCACAGTCCAATCGAAGAGACACGAAGCTGGACCTGCCAGTATGCCGGGGCAAGAGCACCACATCGACCGCCAGCTCAATCGTCTCCTTACGGCTCATAACTTATGCGCTTTGAAAAAGCTCGTCCTGCCCACACGCATGTCAGCCACACTGGCTGCACCCAAATCGACTTCCTGCTGACCCGCTGTGCAACCGCGGGCCGAGACAGTAAGCTGTGTTGTCCCATAAGAAATTTCCCTGTAGCAGGGTGGCGAATAGGTGGACACTTGCCTCTTCAGGCGTCCCTGTCAATTGTGCCGGTTCACTGGCGTGCAGACATCACAGGCGCCAAACCAGTCACCTACGATAAGGCTGCTTTCCAAGAGGCTGTTCGCTCGTCACCTGAGCAGGTCCAGGCACTTCAGCGGAAGGTGCAGGCGGAGGCAAGCAAGGTCTCCACTGCTGATTTGCATCTCCTGCATCAGAAGATCAACCGCATCTTGTGTAGCGTTGTGCAGCAGGCCTTCCCGCCCAAGCGGGCGGAGGACACCAGAATCAGTGCCAATGCCGGCTACCGAGCATCAGCCAGGCATGTCTGGCAGCTGTATGCGCAAATGAAGCAAGCTCGCATTGCTACCGTAGGCCGTCTCATTCAGCAGTGGCGCCGCGCCGCCGCTTTCGAGCGGGCCTCGCGGGCCCTCAGAGAGCAGAGCAGCCGCCTCAAGCGCAATGCCTTTCAGGACAAGCTTCGCAAGGCCGAACAGGCAACTACTGCGGGCGATCAACGTACCTTGCATGGAATCGTTAGGTCCCTCACCCCTGCTCACCGGAAGGCTTTCTCCCGTCTCCGGAATCAGGATGGCAAGCTGCTATCAAGGACCGAGGACCGAAGAGGCCCAAGCGCTGGCCGACCAAGGTCGGGCCACATATGCCCTCTTTCCTGATCTGCCTCTGAATGGTACCCTCACACTGGCTCTGCACATCACCGATGCAGAGGTTCTGGCTCAGTTCCGAGCCATCAAACTTGGCAAGGCCGTGCCCGGTCACATAGCGCCGGCAGGAATGTGGAAACTATGTTCGGATTGCTTGAGCCCCATTTTTGGGGATGCCTTTCGCCAGCATTTTCAGGCCGGTGGCACGGGACTCTTAAGCGGGGATCTTACAGATGCCACCATGGCCATGTTGCCGAAGCCCAACAAACCGGCACATATCTTGGCCAACTTGAGGCCCATTGGGCTCATGGCCCCCACCTCCAAGGCCCTGGCAGGCATCCTGAAGCAGCGCATGATGGAGTGGCAGCTCCCATTGCTACGCGATAGGCCACAGTACGCCTACCTCCCCAACCGCGGCACTCTTGATGCATTGTTCAGAGTTCACAAACATGTTGCCGAGGCGGTGGTGTTGTTCCGAACTAGCCGGGTTACGCGCTTCGGTGCCTACCGAGGGTGCCGCCCTCGTGCCTTCACTGGGGCGCTCAGTCTGTCCCTTGATCTCAGCCGAGCCTTCGATCTCAACAGACCCAGGCTTTTCCAAGCCCTGCGTGACTATCAGGTCCCACAAGCCGTTATCGATGTGGCGCACCGTCTCCACTTTGGCTCGCGCTTTCATTACAAGGCGGGGAACTGCCGCTCTAGCTTTGTACCCACCAACGGGCTGAAACAGGGGTGCAAGGTTGCGCCCAGTCTTTGGGTTTGGTATACCTTGGCACTTATGGATGCGCTTGACAAGCAACTCCCGGAGGGCTGGGTTCGAAACATTCTCACACTTTTCGCGGACGATTGCTGGGCTAGTTGGCTTTTGTACTCCATTGAGGACCTTAGGCGGGCACTGCGTGAGCTCACCATTCTCCTTTCTACCTTGGAGCATTTCCAAATGCAGATAAACTATGGAAAAATGGCAGTGCTTCTTAAGTTTGTCGGGAAGCAAGCCAAGCAAGCCCTGCATGACATCACCCGCTTAAAGAATGGAGCACCCCACCTCTGCCTCACAGTTACTGGCCACGAGCGTCTCATTCCCATCAAAGAGGAGCATGAGTACTTAGGCTCTAAGGTCACATACCATAACGTGCAGGAGGTCAATCTTGATCATCGCATGCAGTGCGGACAACACAGATATCATGCCATACAGCGCACCCTGACGGGACGACATGTGATCACCATGGCGCATAGAACTAGGCTTTGGGGAGCGTGTGTGAGCACAAGCCTGTTGTACTCGCTTCCTGCAGTGGGGCTCAATGAACGTGGGCTCAGGCGGTTGGAGACCAGGGCGCTGAAGCATTTGCGCGCCATTCTGAGGCTGCCGGCGCACCTAACACGTGTAACCAACACAGACATCTGGAGCCGGGCTCAGATCACCCCTCCTGGCCAGCAGGTCCTGCAAGCCCTGTCATCCTTCCGTGCCAGATTGGAGGCCAAAGCACAAACCGCGCCGGACATCACCACAGACTTGCCTATGCTTCGCCATGTTCGGCAGGCTGAGCAGCGCCTTGCCAGTGTGCTGCACCACCGTGCTGAGCGAGACGACCCGACCCACACCGAGCAGCTTGAGACCTGGCCTTGCCCGCACTGTGTGCATGTTGCACACACCGAGCATGCTCTCAGGATCCATTGTGGGCTTCATCATCCTGAACAACCCAGGACTACGGTGGGGCAGGCCACCACCTTTGATCCTGTTCAACATGCTGTGGGGGGCCTCCCCCACTGCAGGCCCTGTGGCCGGCAGTTCAAGAAGTGGCAGAATCTACGGCGCCATATTGAAGAAGGCACTTGTGCCGTCTTGGGAGGCGCCAGCTTTGTACAGCAGCCCAATGCTGAGGTTGAACAGCGGCCGCCGCCGCCTGAGCAGAACATACCTCCCACCGCTCCCTCGGCGGAGCCGCAAAACACTCCCTTCGTGCTTCGCCCGTTCTTTTTGCAAGCATGGACGCAGTGGGACTCGATGTTAGCACACCCTGCCCTTCGCCGTGAGCTCACCAAGCATTGTGTCATCTGCCAGATGTATAATCGCTTCCCACTATTATTAAATCCCCCCTAATATTAAAATTGCCGCCCCCAAAAAATTTAGGGTTTCGGGCCCACAATTAAAAGTTAATTAAAAACATTAGGGGGGGCCTAGGATTGTATGAGTTTTACAGAGGGAAGACTACAGTAGTACTAAACCGAAAGGAAGAGGGCTGTAGGGTTCAGGGGCTTAGAGCTGAGGGCTTAGGGTTTAAGGCGCTGGCGCTCAGGGGTCAA